TCCCAGCTGAACTGGGTCCAGCCTGTCTACCTTTCTCCTCTGGAAGTGATAAGTAAACTTGAGAAAAATTAGTCAACTTAGACATCTTGTATCAAAACAAATTCACGGTTATTAACCTGAGCTGAGACTTTAGCAGCACTCCAAAATTCTTTTCCTTTCGATTTTTAAATTGTCCCCATTCTTCTCAAGCTCTTTATCCAACCTGCCAGCTCAATTCTCAGTAACTAATTAGTTAACGTATTAAAAAATACACATTGGGCATAAATTTTGGCACCAGCTGGGAGAATTGGTGGTGATCATCACTGGAAAGAATCTCAGATATGTGATGCTGGTAATCCCTGGTCATAAATATTGAGAGTACATCTCTCTTTCCAATAATAAAATTAAAAAAAAGCCTGGGGAAATCTCTATCCTCCCCTAAACAAACAAACTTGTGCTCTGTCCTTATTTCTTGTCATTCCAGTCTTAAGCAAATGAAGTGCTACTCAGAGATGGGGGCTAAATGTAATTATTAGGGGGGTGGGGGCTGTCCTGCTTAAAGGGCAACCTCAGGCTCTTTGGCTCTCGGGGGAATGGCTACCCAAACTGGTGCCATCCACTGTCCAGGCCAACATAAACACGGCTGGGAACAGGGCAGCGCTTTTATGGCTCTCAGTCCCTGGAGATCCTTCTTCACTGGGAAAGATACTCTCACTACAGTGAGCACTTGCCTGAGACCCAGAGGCCTCTCACGGCTGGGGCTGCCTGGGACCACCTCTGTGAGCTGACTCAGCAACTCAAGCACCCAGAGGCCTTCTTCCTGGGAGCCCTTTCAGATCACTGGGAACCAAAAGGCAAACACTCTCCCAGGATCTTCATCTGCGTGAACACGGAATAAGCAATGGCCATAAACCCCGTTTAGTTTGCCACCTTCTAGAATGTGACAACTTTGAAACTACGGCTTTTGTGTTTGTCTTCTTCCTAAAGGAAGTCATTTCAATCCGGTCGGAATCTCATTTAAGTCCCACCTTCTCCACCCACCACACTCTCTTCGTTTTTCCCATCTCCTAATCTTAGTCCTGTTACTGGTGTTAAAGACGAGAGAGAGAGAGAGAGAGAGAGAGAGAGAGAGAAAGAGAGAGAAGGAGAGACAGAAAAGCCCAGTTCTTAAATTCCAGCTCCCAGGCTAGTGTGACTAGCTGAGTGTTTAAAAAAGATCTGTATGGTTTGCTTGCCAAAGGCAGAAACCCTCACTTCTATCCCCTCAATATACTGGTGAAGCACGGATTATTATTCACCCCCTCCATGATAATAATAATGATAATGAGTATTTACTGAGTTCATACTATGTGTTAAACACTGTGCTAAGCATTGCACATGGGTTATTGCCCACAATCCTCACAAAAGCACTGAGGGTAGACACTATCATTGCCCCTAATAAACCCATGAGGAAAACGAGCTTCACAGAGAGTGAGCTAACTTGATGGGTCACAGAAATGGTTTGCTCTTTCTGTTGGACTGGCCTTCCTTTCAGAGAGCCCGTGAATACCTCCTGAGTGGAAAATTCCCAATCTTTGAGAGCAGGTTGAATTTCTGGAAAGAGCTATAACTGGCAGAATCAGGGGTTAGGAGGTTGAGTTGATAAATGCCATGTTTCAGTAAACAGCAGGTGTGGCCTCAGGAAAGGGGGCTGATTTTCTCAAGTGGATCAAAAAGCAGTTCCCAAGGAGTCCCTGGAGAGTTTTTGCCTTGGAGCCCCTTTGGAATTGTTCCTGGCTTCTTAATATTCAGAGTACATAAGATTTAGAAGAAGATGGAGTTAGGGTTTATCTAATTTAATCACCATGTTTTACAGAGTACATTCAAAAAGATGATATAGTTTAGACAAGGTTCCCCACTTAGTGGCAGAACAGGAGTTCTGAACTCCTAAACCCCATCCCAAGGCTCTGCCCTTCTCTCAACACTGAGGATTAAATATCTTCTTCTTTGAGATATTTAAAAAAAAACCTTAATAATATGTTTTCTTTAACCCAGTGTACCTAAAATGCAATCATTTCAACATGTTCTTGTTTATAAAACTGATGATGAGTTATTTTATTCTTTCTTTGGTGATTACTTATTACGGTAAAACATACATAACATAAAATTTACCATTCTAACAATTTTTTTAGGTGTACATTTCAGTGCAATGAAGTCTACTCACATTGTTGTTCAACCATCACCACTATCCATTTCTAGAACCTTCTCATCATTCCAAACTGAGACTCTGCACCCATTAAACAATACCTCCTCATTTCCCTTCCCCCCAGCTCCTGGTAACCTCTATTCTACTTTCTGTCTCAATGAATGTGCCTGTTTTAAGTACTGTATATAAGTGGAATCATACAACATATGTCCTTTTGGGTCTGGCTTATTTCAGTTAGCATCATGTTCTGAAGGTTCATCCATGTTGTCAAATGTGTCAGAATTTTATTATTTTAATGGCTGAATTATATTCCATTGTATGTATTTACTACATTTTGTTTATCCTTTCATCTGTTGATAAACACTTGGGTTGTTTCCACCTTTTTGGCTACTGTGAATAGTGCTGCTAATGAATATTTGCATATCAGTCTTTGGACTACTTTTAAAAAATGAAAATTTTAGGGCAGAAGGAGGAGTAGGGGAGACAGATAGAACATGACTAAGTTGGACTGAAGTAGGGTACAGTGAGGGATTTAGGCACAAGAGATACGCACTTTATAAAATTGGTAATCTAGCCACGTTCTTAGGTGTATGGAAGGAGGCGGGAGGGTGTGATTTGAGGTAGAATAATGCACAGGAAGATAAAAGAGGATGGAAGTTGTGGCAAGAGACAAAGGGGATCAGTCTCATAAAACGAGGCTCCTGACCTCATTATTTGGGGTGAGGAGGCCCAGTGCCTGCAGGGAGCACGAGCATCCCTACTTTCCTTTAGGACAGTCACTGCTACCACCCACGGCTCTTTCTCCCAGCCCTGATCCATCTGCGTTGATCAGCTTCATGACTTTGAAGGCTGTTTTACTGCCTCTGAGCAGGGAGTCACAATGGGATGCTCACAGATACCTTTGCTAGGAGGGCCCTTTTCCAGGAGAGAGGTTAAAAGTCTGAGGACCCCTCTCCTAAGAAAGAGCCCGCAGGTGGGAGTCTCCCCCATGTTTTATCCACTCTAGTCTCCCACCCAACATTTGCTCAGTGATTGAGGTCAGATTTAAGCTTCTTATCAGACCTGCTTAACAATACAATGAGAACAGCCCATCTTGAGAAAAGATTCATTCAAATTCTCTCACTGGTGGGAAAGAAGACCAAGGAACCTCTCACATCTCCAAATCTGAGTTTATGGGACTCTATAAACGTGAAAGCAATAGGTGTAACACTTGGTAAAATTTAGAATAAGATTCATAATATGTCATACCTAAGTTAAAACTCAGACATTGGAAATGTCTGACAGATACCGAATACACTAAATGGAAACACGATTGAGCGGATATAAGTAATAAATAGACAAAAATATTCTCCCTTAATCTGGAAAGCAGCAACCTGTAGAACACGCAAGGTGGCTGTGCAACATGAAGAATAACTTGGATTCGTCACTCTCAACACAAATACAGTCATTCATCTCGTAAGGCAGACAGAAGAGCGAAAACAAGATTTGCAGAGACTGTGGAAATAAGTGCCAGATTTTAAACAGGAAACAATAGATCATGGACATTAAATAACTGTATTTGGTTATGAAATTTAATTTCAAATCATGGTACAGCACCACAAACTCTGTGACTCAGTTTTCTCACCAATGTAAACCTCGTTTCTCTCACTGGTGTGTGGGGCAGAAATTGTACCTACCCTGTAAAGTTGTTATAAAGATCAGGTAAAACTTATAAAGCACTTATAGTCCTGGGACATTGCAAGCACTCAAAATATATTCATTAGCATTATTATTTAGGGCTTAAATTCCCAGATAACAAAGAGGAAAACAACAGTGAGGTCTGTGACAAGCCCCGGCTTATGTAAATTATCAGTTTCACTTTTTCCATTTTAAAAGTTGTACATCTTAACCAAACAAGACCTCCATAATAATAACAAAAATTAGAAGGAAGAAACAGAACTAAGTCACTGGTAATTTGAGCACATTTCCTTTAGGGCATAGGTTGTTTTTCAAGTTAGTTTCAATCATGTATTCTTGTTTTTCTTAACATTATATGTATATTTCATTTTATAGCAGAGTCTTTAAAAGCCACATATTTGTTTAATATAGATCATTTCACATAATATTCCATTAAATGAATGGACCATACTTGAGCTTACTATTCTTTACTTTTATAGATCATACCTTAGGATTTCTAATATAGAATTACTCTAAATAATGGCATAACTGATAAATTTTATGAAAAACTTTTCTGCATTTAGGGATATTTTGTTAGAATAAATTTTCAAAAATGAGATTACAGCATTAGAGTATGTAACTTTAAAAAAGTTCTTGCTAGTGGGGAGGGTGTAGCTCAGTGGTAGAGTGCGTGCTTAGCATGCATGAGGTCGTGGGTTCAATCCCAGTATCTCCATTGGAACTAAATAAATAAATCTAATTACCTCTCCCTCTATCCCGCCAAAAAGAAAAAAAAACCAAAATAAAAAGTTCTTGCTGTATTTTGCCAATTATACCATCTGCTGTGATTCTCAAGGATATATGTTTCAACACAAGCTCCTTTTTCATTGTGAATTTTTTATTAATGAAAACTGCTAATTTAATAGAATGTTACCTAATTATTGTTGTAATATAGGTTTCCTGTATTACTAGTCAAAGAGAACAGTCTGTCCCTTGTTTCAAAGCCAACTGTACTTCTTGTTATTCTTCTTCATGTTCTTTTACTACTTACTGGGCAATAGTGGATTTTCTAATTTAAGATTTTTATACAATAAAGATATCAACAGCATTGTGACCTGTGGAAAAGAACTATGGCAGCCTCAAAAATTTCACCCCAAGCAGAAGTATTTGGAGGCCAAATCAGAGAAAAGCACTGATGTGCTTATGGGCAACTGGGATTAAGCCAGCTTAGGAAATCATTATATCCAGTCATTAAGGATAAGAGTAAGAGGAGTGGTAAGGATCACTTGCCTCCCACAGCCTGAAAGTTCTTGTCACAGCTGATCTTAAACACAGCTAGCATCCGAGTCCTGATCTGTTTGGTTTTGACACCATAAATGATGGGGTTGATGACAGGAGGCAGAAGTAGATAGACATCACCCATGAGAACATGAACAATGGGATCAAGGCTGGTTCCAAAACGGTGCACCACTGAGAGGCCAATGAGAGGCACATAGAAGGCCAGTACCACACCAACGTGTGACACACAGGTTCCAAAGGCTTTGGCCCGCTCTGACTTGGATGGCAGTTGTAGAACTGTTTGTATAATCAGAAAATAGGACAAACAGATAAACAGAGCATCCACACCCATGACCAGCAGAATGGCAGTAAGACCATAGACCATGTTGGGCAGTGTGTCTGCATAGGCCAACTTCATTACATCCTGGTGCACACAGTAGGAATGTGAGAGCACATTGGAGTAACAGAAGGCTAGCCGTTTGATGAGCAGAGGCAGAGGGATAAAGAAGAGGAATCCACGGGCCATGGCCACCATGCTGATCTGGGCTGTCACCATATTGTTGAGCACGGCAGCATGGTGCAGTGGATGGCAGATGGCTACATAACGGTCAAAGGCCATGGCTAGCAGGATGGTGGACTCAGTGGCTGAGAGAGCGTGAATAAAAAACATCTGGGCCATGCAGGCATCAAAGGTAATCTCCCGGGAATCAAACCAGAAGAGGGCAAGGATCTTGGGCATGGTGGATGTGGACAAGGCCAGGTCAATGGCTGCCAGCATGCAGAGAAAGAGGTACATGGGAGTGTGCAGGCTGTGCTCTGTCCTCACGATGAAGACCACGAGGCAGTTTCCAAACACTGCCACGGCATACATAGAAAGCAGGGGGAAGCCTATCCAGAAATGAGCTTCTTCTAGTCCTGGGATACCAATAAGCACAAAGGTGGTATGTGTAAAGTTGCAGGGACTCATAGCTGGCACCGAGAAGGGGGCACTGGAGAGGGTGAGGTCACACTGGCAGTCTGCTAGCCTGCTAGGACATGAAGCACAGTCAGAGAGACCAGCCCTGGACCCTGGTTGCTGAACACACCTTAGCTCTCCCTCCCCTACTCTCTCCTCCCACTCTTCCAAGCCATTTGGGCTCTCTCATAAGCTCTGAAGCCTTCTGGTAAAGGGGGAAATGACAGCCGAAATTCATTTATCACCACTACTCTCAAGGTTCACTTACATTTATAAAAGGGAACCTGGAGAGAACAATGATTCTCCCCAAATCTATCCATCCCTAGTTCCACAGACTCCTTGTCCTGGCCCATACCTTCACTGTCTAGGTAGTGGGTGGCCTTTTTCTCAGATAGGTGGTAAGTGATACCTTACTAGGAACCTCTTCTGGATAGGCTGTGTCCTCCTCCCTTCTCTCCCCTCCCCTACCCTTCTCTATCACCCATTTGTTCTGTAAGCATTTACTTATAGGACCAACCATAGACAAGGCTGTTTGCTAGATGCTGATGATGTGGTCAAAGACACATCTTTTGCCCTTCTGATGCCCTGATTCAGGTAAAAGATAGACAAGTAACAAAATTATTAAAATCTTGGGATAAGTGTTAGCAAAGGATGTGCATTTAATGCATGGGAGGGGGAGAGGCACAATCAGAGGAAATGTCCCCTCAAAAAGATGATCCTTCCTTATAGTCTTGAAACATGAGTAGAAATCAAACAGAGAAGGGAATAAAAGGAGGACCCAACAGGGGGGATAGGAGGGGTTTTGTTTTTCTTTTTGCAAGTTTTCAGGATTTCAGGTCCCCAGGTCTAAGGTCAGCGAGAGAGGAAAGAAACACAGCCGTGATTTTAAAAACAAAACAAAAACTAAGGAAGAAAGGCCAAGAGACAATTTCTTGAGGTAAAAAGGAAACTCATCCAGGGCTGTCGAATGCAAGGCAGTAGCTCCCGCCAGTGACTTCCCTGCAGATGAAAGCGCTGGCGGGACCCTGGCTGCCTGGCATGGCCCTGTGCTGGCTGCTCTCTCTGCTCCTAGTTGGTGGGTTCCTCCACGCTTAAAGGCCGCCTCCAAGGCCACTCTCATTGCCCCAGAGCGAGCTTGATTAGGTCCTGCTACTCCTAGAGCTTTATATTTCCTGGAACCTCTGCCAATGAGTCATTTATGTTAGGGGAGACGTTTCTTTTTCTGGAAGCCCAGTGTGGCTGTGGCTCTGCCTCACCCAAACCAAACCTGCAGCTCTGGCCACTACAAGCTCTTTCCTTGATAGGCTCCCTAGGTGCCCTGGTATTTAGAGTTAATTGTCCCTAAACAGCCAAGGGCTTGGCTTCTAGAAGAGGTTCTGAATCTTGGGAATAAACTCTGCAGTGGTGTTCAGGCTAACCTGTTCATCCCCCTAGGATTCTTCTTCACTCCTAACCTGGGTTCTTACTGCAACTGGGACATGCTCTCCTATTTGGCCGTAGAGGAGAGGGTTTGGAGACCAGTAGTCTTATAACATAATAAAATGAGAACTAGACATTTTGACTGGATTATCCTCATCTTGGATAAGCAAGGAAGAAGAGATCCAGGGTTCAAAGGTCACAAAATTCACGCCTCTGACTACTATTTGTTCTCCATTCTCAGAACATGTGCAAAGATATTACAGCTATTTTCCTTGACAGATATTAGATTCCAGATTTGGCCCTCAGCTGCTGTCAGGGAATGAAAAGCCTTTTTCAGAGGCAGATAGTTATGGGCACAGAAGGTAGCAGGGGGGGAGCAGCAATTAACACACTCGCCCTTCTTCAAGGCCGCTTGCCCACGCTCCTGCAGCAGCACTGGCAGACATAAGGGTCTGTGTTGACCTTAGAGTCAGATACCTTCCTGAGTCTTCTGTCCCCAGGGCATCTTTTCTGCTTTGCTGGTAGCAGTCTAAGACTTTGGGCCATCATCTCATCTTCCCACTTACTTATCCCAGAAGACCTCATGTTTCCCTCCCATGTGGCCTGGCCCTCTGCCTAGAGTGAGCCCCGGCCAGTTCAGCTTCTCTTTGGGTCTGGATGCGGCTGCTGCATTTATTCTCACTTGCCTTTCTGGATGTTTGTTAATGCTCTGGAACATTTCTTCTCGGGCAAGGAAGATGTGAAGGGGAGGCAAGGGCTTCCCCCTACCCTGCCAGGAGGCAGTTTGTGAGGTCTTCGAGGTCCCTTAGGATGGCAGGGACCTTGGCCTGCTGGACCCCAGTGAGTGTGCACTCACTTGAGTATGGTGCGGCCCTGATGAGACGCAGCTACAGCTGGCTCTCCCCTTCCGGCACAGGTCTATTTATAACGCTGCCCATGAAGCCCATGGGGACAGGCTGTAGTAATATGGACTGAGGTCCCTGGGGCTTGGCAGACAGGGTGTAGTATCTTCATGGCCACTTGTGTGTCACTCCCATGGGCTTCCCCTATTTCAGTCTTGGGGTGGGGGGTCAGGCAATCACCAACGGCCTGCTGCCTCTGCCGCCACTCCCACACTTGCTCATGTAGGATTGTCACCAGTCTGTGTCCGCTCCTCCAAGTAACTGAAATGCCCTGTTAACCACAGTGATGAGTGTTTTTTCTCATTAGCCACTTTGCTAGACACAACAGTCAATGTGAGTATAGAGTTACATCCTGCTTTAGATGTGATTTAGAACACCGAGGAGGCCACTGTGCCTCAGGGGAGAGAGCAAGGGCAAGAGCAGTGGGGAGACAGAATCAGGGAGGTAATGGGGAACTGGATCATGTAAGTCTTACAGGACATTGAGGATTTTCACTTGGACTCTGAGTTCAAGTAGTGGGACAGTGGCCATGTGTCTACCACTACTCTGGCTTTTAGGAAAGTCTCCAGTTAGTTGTGAACTTGTCCACTTGGGTCAGAGATGACATTTGCTTTGCAATCCCCCCTTCCCCAGGTGTCCAAATTACACACTCCCTTGGAATGGAAGCTTGCTAGTTTCTAGGAATGTTGGACAGGGACAGGGAGGTTAGTGTGGTTGGGGGGGAGGTGGAGGAGGAACATCTGTAGCAGCAGTGTGACTATCTTGGCTGTCTGGCTTAAGACTGAAGTTCTATCTTCTCATTCCCAAGTTTGGGGCTCTGAGTACTTCATCCTTCTTCTCTAGCTGGAGCTTCTCTTTCTCTTTTTCTCTTCCCTTTCTCCATACTCCATCGTATATCATGTGTAGAGACAGACAAACAAAAATCCAGTCTGCAATTTCACTTATTTTCAGTGGTGAAGAAGACATACTCCCTGGTCTTGAGAAGTGGGCAGAGTCTGTTGTGGGGAGACTGGTTACAGGAGAACCTGGGAGGGGATGTCATGAGGAAGACACACTGGTGCTTCAGGGGCACCTGGAAATGACACCAGACAGACTTGAGAAGTCATTAAAAAGTCTCTAAGGAAAGTAATTTCTAAGTCAGAAAGGAGAGCATGAGGGTGCTACAGGTGGAAGCAACAGCTTGTACAAAGGCTTGAGAATGAGATAGAACAATCAGAGTTAAGGAAATGCCAGTTATTTGTCGTGCCTGGAGCACTGCTTAGAGGGGATGCAGTGAGGCTTGACTGATAAATATAGTCAGGCCATCCAGAGATTCTATTATTTTTCAATGTGGCAAGCCTTGTTTTAGGGTCTGGAGGATAGCATAAATGAAACAAAGTCCTTATTCTCAAAGACCTTTCCTTGTAATGGAGACTAGAAAAGAAATAAATAGGTATGTATGTAATATGTTGAGGAGGGGTTGTAAGTGCTAAAAGTTAAAACAAGGTGAGTAAGGAAGAGAGTGAATGCAGGCAGGAATTAGTGGAGAGGTGTTGCTGTCATTTTTAGTTTTTATAGTGTAAAGGGCCCTTTAATGAGAGGACACATAAACATGGAGTGAGCCTGCATGAAGTGAGGCAGTAAGCCATGTGGGCATCTGGAGAAAGACATCCCAGGCAGGGAGAACAGCAAGTGCAAAGTCTGAAGGTGAAGCCTGCTGGGTGAGCATAAGGAAATATTTTGGAGGCTAGTGTGGGTGTAGCAGAGTGAATAAAGGGGAGAGTAGTAGGAGACGAAGTCGCGATGATGGAGAGGAGTCAGAACACATACATCCTTATAAGAGAGTATAATGACTGTGAATTTTCCCTCAGTAAGACAGGAGGCCACTGGGACATGCTGAACAGAGGAAGTGACACGATCTGTCTTGTGTATAAAAATACTCTAACTACAATGGGGGAACTAGACTGTACTGCAAAGCAAAAGTGGATGAGATGACCAAAAATGAGAATATAACAAAGGGAAAAACAGGTCTGAGAACAAAGTCCTGGACATCACAACATACAAAGATCAGGTCTTTGAAGACTGATAATAATTGAGACTGAAAATTTTACTGTTGAACATGTTGAGGATTTTGACATCATCCTTATTACTAAGTGACTGGTACTATAGTCACTTAATAAATTCCCTATAGAAATGAATGACTACTTCTGCTTCCTTGATGGATCTGAAACCAGCTATAGAGCCTGTCTTTACTGAGTGATACCAACGTGTCATTGAAATATGTCTTTAAAACTTTGAGATTTATTGGATATACCCAGGTTGGAAAAAATAATTAAGCTGCTGGATTAAGCCATTACATGAAATATATGCCATAGCTTTTAAAACTTCTAAGCAAATAACACAAATTGTAATTCTTTTGTAATTCGAGTCATTTTTCAGTTTCTGCTGGGGCAGAAAGTTGATGGAGCGAGGAGAGTATAGCTCAATGGTAGAGTGCGTGCTTAGCATGCACGAGGTCCCAAGTTTGATCCCCCATACCTCTGTTTAAAACAAACAAACAAACAAACCAACAAAACCTAATTGCCTCCCTCCCCCAATCAATCAATCAAAGAAAGTTTATGGAGGTGAAGAGGAATTCTAGAATATGCTTAGTTGGGAAAGAACATCAGGTAGAAATATATTTGTGAGGTTTAAAGATTTTGTTTTGAGCTTTTCCTCCATAAATTGGTTGAAAATTTCTAGAGGACAGAGTTTTAGTTTTT